ACGGAACGAATGCAGTTCACAGCTATTTCTGAGAAATATACGGTAAAATGATACAAAAAATTCCTATGGCATTTTTGATTCCAATTGTTCGCTAATCTGCATAGCATTTGTTGATGAATTCATTCACACATAAAATTACGATGATGAATTTCACAACCGAAAAAAATTTCCGCCTGGTGATCAATCTGCTTATGGCTTTTTTTAATTTTTGCAGGAAATTTCGAAATAATTTCCATTTTGGCTTCCATGGATTTCCTATTTATAATCTGGCTATGGGCAAAGTTGTTGTTGCGACATATGATGTGCGATAGGATGATTGGTGATTGATGTTGCAATTTTTTAACCATGAATTTTTGTAAAACGAAATAGATTACACTAAATAAATGTAGACAGAGTTCAAAGTTCCAAATTCCAATTTCAGAGCAAATAGAGTGGTTTTGTATGGTTGGTTCGGGTAATAATGATAAACAGTTTGGATGTTTCCCAACTTAATTTGAACTCAGGCAAGTGGTCGAGTGAAGTAATTGCATCAAATGCAATCATTTTTATTAAAATTTTTGGTGGAAACAAATTATATCTATATATATATCCTAAATATATAAAATTTGAAACTTCTTTTATAGTTCCCATACTTTTCTTTAAAAACAAATTCAATTCATCTCTTAAAAAGAATGATTTTACTTGGAAAAACATTCAATTTGTGGTGTTGTTCAAAAGCAAATAACATGGTCGGCAGCTTTTCTGTTTTCCTTTCTTTTAAATTGTTTCACTACAACAATTCACTTGTACTTCGCAGACAAAAAAAAACTTTCTTTTTATCTTCTTAATGGAGTATATTCGGTCCGGCTGGACTGATTTATTTCTTCATGTAGTTTGTTTTTGCAACATTTTTTCCACAACTTCTTCGATGCAATTTTATTTGAAATAAACCTGTTTTATATTGAACTACAAACTACTAGCAATCCGGATTGTGACTTCAATTTAATCTCTCATAGCAAAAAAAAAAAAAAATAAATAAAAAAATGCTCTGTGGGTTGCTTCCGTTTCTCAAACGTTTTACTTTTATTTGAAACATTTGTTGAATTTTTTTTATTCCCTCCACCATACTATTGAGGGTATATTAACTTTATCATTCCGTTTGTAACTCCGGAAATATTCATGTCAGACTCAACAAAATACATATATTCTTGATCAGCGTAAAATTCTAAGTCGATTTAGCGAAGTCCGTCTGCCTGTCTGTCTGTCTGTTGTAATCCCGCTATCTTTCCAACAAATTGAGATAGAAGGCTAAAATTTTACATACATGTTTATTTTGCCAGTAGGCAGGATAAGTTCGTAAATGGGTTATGTAGGTCCACGTGTTCATGTAGCCCCCATATAGCGGTACCTACCGATATTCGGTATTTTGATGATTTCAGCGACCTTATTCACCGGAATTGTTTCAAATTTGGTATTTGAAGTTCGAAATGGATACTACAGTTGTCTGAGCAGGTCCACGTCTTCGTATAGCCCCCATTTAACGGTACCTACCGATATTCGGTATTTTGATGATTTCAGCGACATTATTCACCGGAATTATTTCAAATTTGGTATGTGAAGTTCGAAATGGATTTTACAGCCTAAGACAGAAAATTGTCTGTGCAGATCCACGTCTTCGTATAGCCCCCCTATAAATGTACCTTTCAATATTCGGTATTTTGATGATTTTATCGTCATTATTCACCGGAGAAGTTTCAAAGTATTTAGAGTTCGTAATGGATGCTACAGCCTATGACAGAAAATTGTATATGCAGGTCCATGTCTACGTATAGCGTCGATATAACGGCACCTCCCTAGATACGGTATTTTGAAGATTTTAGCTACATTTATTCACCGTTTATTTCAAGTATCAAATTGGAACATGGTAATGGCTTATAACAAATATTTGCAATATTTCTATCAAGTGTAACAATGGAGAATATTAGTCCACTTTGGTAAAAAAAAAAACTAAATCGTGGACCTATTTAGACAATATCTAGCGGCAAAGTACTCAGCAGGAACCCCCTGTGTGTGGATTTTCAGAAAATTCCATTGAAAATGTGGCTTAAATCGTCAAAATACCGAATATCGGGGGGTATCGTTATATGGATATCGTGGACCTATAGAGACAATTCTCTTCCAGGAGGTTAAGTACTCACAGAGAACTGCTTGTGTCGAATTTCAGACAATTCCATTGGAAAATGTGGATAAAATGATCAAAATACCGAATATCAGGGGGGTACCGTTATGTGGGCGCTATACGATATCGTGGATGTGCATAGATAATTCTCTCTTAGGGGATAAAGTACTGACATGGAAGTCCTTGAGTGGATTTTCAGACAATCCCATTTATAAATTTGGCCACAATCATCAAAATACCGAATATTGGGAGGAACCGTTATATGGATATCGTGGACCCACATAGACAATACACTTTCAGGGGGTAAAGTACTCACAAATTTCATTGAAAAATGGGGCTAAAATCATCAAAGTACCGAGTATGGGGGGTACCGTCATATGCGGGCTGTACGATATCTTGGACCGCTATAGCACATCTTCGAACTTGACCTGCCTGCAGACAAAAGACAGATCTGTGCAAAATTAGCTTCCTACGTTAATTCGTTTTGACTGCAGCGTGATTACAACAGACAGGAGAGGCCTTAATCGTCTTAGAGTTTTAAGCTGATCAAGAATATATACACTTTGTTATGTCTAAACTTATTTTTTCGATGAGTTATAAACAGAATGATGAACTTAATATACGCTCCATACTATGTGTGGTGGAGGGTATAAAACATGTCTATATAACAGTTTAAAAATAAATGTATAAATTGTAAAATAATAGTGGCTGATTGCCTCACCCATGCCCAGAAGAAACGGTTGGAACTAGAATCTTCGAATATGACAATTAGGAAGCTGTTGACGGGTAGTTGGATGAACGACGGGATTTTTGGAAATCCATTCTAAAAGGTACCAAAATGTACCATAAACTGCTTTTCTTGACTAGAATTGATTACTTTTGGGGCTAAAATCTTAAAATCGCACTAACGGATCGGGACAGCGGTACATCTATTTATTTTCAAAATATTGACCCTTTTATTTTTCATTTTCTCAGCTGACCTAAGTCTGATATATATTAATTACCAGGTTTGGACTATATCGGATACTAACTTTCCTCAATATGAGTTTTTGTTGTTATCTGGAAAATGTGAATTTATGTATGGGAGGGACCAATAAATTTCATCTGTGGTTGATAGAAATATTGAGATACCCGAAGATTGAAGAATATATAAACAAGAACTTTTAATACCATCCAACATTTGGAAAAAAATCGTCGAAAAATTCGGTTCAAATGAAATTCTTTATATGAGGGCTATACGAAGACGAGAACCTGCATACGCAATTTTTTGCCATTGGCTGTAGTAGCGATTCCGAATTTGGAAATACGAATTTTAAAACAATGCCGGTATATAATGTCTTTAATACCATAAAAAGGCCAAATATTGGGAGGCACCTTAATATAGGGACTATATGAATTTAAATTACTTAAATACCGAATATGAGTGCCATATGAAAGCATGGAAAGGTGATTTCCTGTTATAAGAAGTAGTACCCGAGTATTAAATTTGAAATAATTCCAGCGAATAAATGTGGCAGAAATCGCAAAAAACCTTATATCAGGAGTTGCCGTTTTATGGGTATTGTACCAAACCTTACACCTATATAGATATTTCTATCCAATGATGTATTTTACATACCGGGAACACAAACTGCCAATTTACAGCGAATTCGTTTTAAAGATTTGACAAAAAAAAACTCAAAACACCCTAAATCTGTACACCTAAAAATTTAGGATTCGCTCCATAAATATGTACTAAATACAGGGTGAGATGAAAAAACGGCAACCAACTTCAGACTGCTGTTATTTCTAAGCCACGACAGCTTTTTAAATTATTCCAGTGACAGCTCATTATATGACTTACTAGCGTACAAAAGCATTTTGGTGAGAATTTTCCAGAAAAAAAGTTATTCTTGATGGAATTCAAGCGTGATAGTGTGATTTCTTTATATTTGACTGGAAAACCACAAGTGGCTATCGTTAGAGTACTCCAGCATTTAAATGTTAATAAATCTTTTGTGTCTCGTACCAACGCTCGTTACCGTGATACTGGTAGCGTAGCCCAACATTAAGGAAGTGGATGGAGAAAACAGCAACATCAGCAGAAATGGTTGGAAAGTAAAGAAGCGACTTGATCGAAACCCGCGTCACAGTGTCTGAAAAATGGCTCATGAGCTGAACATATCGCAATATTCCATTCGGCAAATATTGATAAATGAGCTCCGGGTAAAATCCCAAAAAGTCGCTCTCCGCTCATTTTAATCGACCGTGGCATCAGAATAAATGCTGAATATTATCTTGGACACGCGAACATTTTGGCCGCAGACCTTGGACATTCCAACAGGACTCAGTACCATCGCACTCAGCGCCCGCCATTCCAGAATGGTTACAAAAATCAATGGCCGCCAAAATCTCCGGATATCAATCCGTTGGACTATTGTGTCTGAAGTATTTTGGAAAGCAAGGTTGGCACTAAAATATACCAAAGTGCCGATCACCTCAAGCAGGCGCTTCTCTGGGAAGGGGCCAAAATACTTCAGAGCAACATTCGGCTGTAATTAAGACAATTGGGGGCCAATCGTAAAATTTATAGCATTATCTGATAGGAGGATTATTTTTGCGCCACCTTGTACTATACAAATATTATATTTATATAACACTTATACGATGAATATATTAATATATACTACACTATATAAAGTATTTCCTTCAAGTAGCAAATTGCGAGATGCGCCTTAAAGTATGTTATAAAAATGCTTAACATAAATTTAGAAAAAGTAGCTTTACATATGATTCTAACATTATGTGAATCCTAGCCTTTGCATTGTAATTCCAAAGAAAACCAAAAACAGTGACAACTTACCCATCAGAACCAAAAGCTTTCAATTCACGATCTAAGGTCTCCTTGACATTTTGTTGGGAATACAAGCCAATTGGGGAGTTGAATTGTTTGTGCACCAATTTACGTTGAACAGCAGCCATTTTTTTATTGTATTTGTATTAGTGTTATTATCGAAAAAATGTGTTTAAATGATTATATTTCAATTCTGGAAAATATGAAAAATTGCTTGATTAATTTCTGCGAATTGTTTATTGTCTTTGTGAGTAATAAAGCCTTTGACCACGGACAACTGGTTGATGAATGATGTTTTTTTCTGAAAATAAAACGAAAAAAAAAAATTATTAAAACATATGAAATTTCAAATTGTCAAAGAGTCATCAAATGTTTGTTGTTGTTAAAGAGAGTAGGTATCTAGGGGCTGCATTTTTTGTTCTACTAAAATATGAAATGAAAAATATTTTCTTTGTAAAACGTTTCATTTCACATTTACATAGAAGAAAGAATGGACCCCCAGCCTCAGATTTGCAACAATGTTGGTGTATGTTTGTGAGTTTGAGAATATATGTATGACATTTTGAGGCAACATGAACATCAAAATCATTTTAATTTTGATAATGAAACCTATTCAAGTAAGTAAAGTTTATTATGATACTTGTCAATAGAAAACTGAAAAAAGGAAAAAAAAATTCTTGGGTACAAAAAATATTTTAAGTTTTAATAATGAAATCAATATTTCGAAGATAAGTATTAATAACTTGTGTACTGATGGATGGGATCACCATGCACATACAGAAGGGTTTATTGGCAGTACATTATTTAAAATGTACATAAAGTACATGTACTACGTATATATACTATTTATCCATGTTTGAACGTTACGTCTAAACTTTTATATTTAATGCAAGATGAGGGTGGCATAAAAAATAACAACAAAAAAAATCTAACCGTAAAAAATTAATTAAAAGCGGATTTATTAAAGATTTCACTTGGGTAATGGTTTCAACTGTGGTTGGATTCTTGTTTTATGAAAATATAAAATGAAAAATATTTCCTTTATACAATTTTTCATTAGACATTTCTTTTCTTTATAAAAATTTTTATTTCATATTTTCATATGTAGAACAAGAATTGACGCCCAAATCATTTGCATGAGCTCAAAGGAGGTCGTCCGATTATCTTTTCAATATTAAAATAAACAATCTGTGTCTCTGTAATTCACATTTCAAGTACAACCTTGTTCGAGCTCTGCAACTCAGGTGGTAACACATTTATTTTCATATTGGACCATCGTATATGTGGTGTCCGTTGGAATTGCAATTTTCGAATTTCGAAAAAAGGAAAGTTGTGCTCAATTGTGCCGCAAATCTTTTTTTCAAAATTCGCTAAAAATTCCTGAAATATTCGAAGAAAGATTTTTTCGAAAAAAATCTGAGAGTTGCAATTTTCGAATTTCGAAAAATTTAAGTTTGTGCTGAGTAGTACACGGTTTGTGCCCATTTGTGCCGTTAAATTTTTTTCGATATATCTTACCAATTTCGAAAAATACGACAATTTCGAAGGTATACCAGAATAGCAATATTCGAATTTCGAATATCCCAGAAATTTTTTCGAATTTCAACAAAAAATTTCGGCACAATTGAGCACAAACCTAGCAGAATTCAGCACAACTTTCCTTTTTTTGAAATTCGAAAATTGCAATTCCAACGGTTACCACATCCATCGTATCTTATCTATTAAAGTCACAAAGGAGGCGAATTTAGTCCTTAGTCTTTTTAGTCTTAATCTTACTGTTAACAGTTTTTCAACGGGAAATTTGGAATGGGAGTCACTGATAAACTGCAGGATAGATGTACCAAAGGATTTGTGTAAATTCAAACATTAAATCAACCAAAAGTTCTAACATGGTACTAAACTTCTAAAATGGTATTGTATAACCGATAGAGCTAACAGGTAAAAAAGCACCTAACTAAAATAAACCTAAAAAGCCGGGCCGAACTTTTAATACCCCTCATCATTTAGAAGAACCTTGACAAATTTCCAAACAAATTCCGACGAAAAATACTGCTCAAATGACAACCGTTATATGGGGGGTAAACGAAGACGTGGCCCTGCATAAGTAATTTTTGTCATAGACTGTAGTAACGGTTCCGAACTTCAAATACGCAATTTGAAACAATTCCGGTGAATAATATCGCTATAATCATGAAAATACCAAGTATCTGTGGGTACCGTTATATGGGCGCTATACTTAAAGCGTAGACCTATATAGACAATTCTCTTCTAGGGGGTAAAGTACTCAGAGGGAACCCATTGTGTGGATTTTAAAACAATTCCATTGAAAAATGTGGCAAAAATCATCGAAATACCGAACCGCGAGGAACCGTTATATAAGGGATATATGATATCGTGGACCTATATAGACAATTCTCCTTCAGGGGATGAAGTACTGACAATGAACTCCTTGTGTAAATTTATAGAAAATTCCAGTGAAAAATGTCGCTAAATCATCAACATTTTGAATATCGGGAGGTGCCGTTATATGGGGGATATACGATATCTATCGTATATAGAAAATTCACAATGAACTCTTTGTGCAGAATTTGAGATAATCCAATGAAAAATGTGTCTAAAATCATCAAAATGCCGAGAATCGGGTGGAACCATTACATGAGGGCTACACGATATCGTGGACCGATATATCCCATCTTCAAACGTGACCTGCCAGCAGACAAAGAAGATTTAAGCTAAATTTTAGCTTCCTATCTTAATTCGTTTTGACTCTAGCGTGATTACAACAGAAGGACAGGTCTAAATCGTCTTTGAATTTTACACTAATCAAGGGTCTAAAATGATTATTTCGAGAGGTACAAACGGAATGACGAACTTTATAATGCTTCCTTACTATATATATGGAAATATGGACATATGGAGTTGGTTTCGGAAATGTGTACTATAATTGTACAAAAAATACTGAATGGTACAATATTTGGTATTGGGTGAGGGATATAGATAAAATTTTGAGTTTTGATATTTCGATTATGGTATCTGTGTTTAAGATTTGGCAGTGATTTGGAAATGTGTCCTTTATTTATACGAAAAGGGATAGGGCTGGAATCCTTAAATTTGATATTTTATGTCTTTTTTGTTATCTGAAATTGAGATATGGATTTGGTTTTGGAAATGTGTACAATAATTGCATGAAAAGTACTAAATTTGGTACAGTTTGGTATTAGGTGAACAGACAGTGCTTGAAGTCTGAAATCTGCTATTAGGGTCGATATTCATGTGCATCCTAAACATATGGAGGTGGTTTCGGAAATATGTACTATAATTGTACGAAAAATTATGAATGGTACTATATTTGTTATGAGGTGAAGGGTTAGAGACAAAATTCTTAAATTTGATATTTATATTACTGAGTATCTGTGTATGCATCCTATGCTTGTACGATTAGTACTAAATAGTACTAAAATGTGTATGGGACGGACTGGAATCCTCAAAATTGTTATTGAAATAATATCGGTGAATAATGTCGCTAAATCATCATCAAAATAACGAATATAGGGAGGTACCGTTATATGGGGGCTATACGAAGACATTGGCCTGCACAGACAATTTTCTGTCAAAGGTAAAAGTATCCATTGCAAATTTCGAGTTCCAAATTTGAAAAAAATCCGGTGAATGGAATAAATGCCGAATATTATCGCGAAAGTATTCTGGAGGGTGTATTAAAGCCTTGGGCTCGCAAACATTTTGGCCGCAGACCTTGGACATTCCAACAGGACTCAGTTCGCGCCACCCAAGAATGGTTACAACATGAGGTTCTTCGCTTCATTTCCAGTGCACAATGGCCACCAAAATCTCCGGTTACCAATCCGTTGGTCTATTGTGCCTGGAGTATTTTGGAAAGCAAGGTTGGCACTACAAAAATACCAAAGTGTCGATCACCTCAAGCAAACGCTTCGCCGGGAATGGGCCAAAATACCGCAGAGCAACATTCGGGCAGCGTTTCATTGGCCGTTTGAAGGCCATAATTCGTGCCAAAGGTGGCCAACAAATTTATACAAATTCTAAAATTGGATGCTATTTCTGAAATTTTTTCTTTTATTCAATAAAATTAAAAAAAATGTAAAAATTATGGCGTTTGACTTTGTTGCACTTCTTTTTATCTTACCCTGTATATAGCTATCAACATTTGATCAAAAAACCAATTATTGGAAATGGGAGTTTTTGCTGGATGCATGTTTACAGTATCGCATTATCGACATCACATTATTGCAGTTTTCCCTTGTTTGTAAAATCATATTTAATGTTTTCTTTTTACCAAAATTATTTAAAAACTACAAATTCCTAACATTTTGATACGACCGTAGGCCATAATTCTATCATGTCTTATCTAAATATCCCGACATGGCCATATTCAATTGCATTCCATGGCCTTGTGTTTTATTTAATTTTGTAACCATCCAGGGCGATAATTAAATGTAACGGGCCAATTACAGCCAAACATATTCAATTCAATTAAATCTATGACTGTTGAACAGGAACACACACACAGGCCAACGCTCGCCGCTGCCAGATTTAACTGGGCAAATTCCGCAACATAGATACATACCAACATGGGCTGCCATGCCTGCGTAATTGGAATTGACGAGAACGGACTTCCGATATGTAATGTTCCATTATAAAATTGTCTGCAACCAAATTGGCATTCCCAAATAGATGGGTGGCTATGCCAGACATTCTAGTTGCGTCAGTATGTATTGATTTCATTAATGCCCCAAGGTGGTGGGGGGCATACAGCTTGTTCGCACAGTAAGCAGCCATACACAATGTTCAGGCCATACGACGACCTACAAATAGTGAAATAGCATGGCATGCGTCTATCAATTAAATAATATTATCCTTACGAGGATTAAATAACCTTCGATAACTTAACCTGTTGGTTGTTTTGTTCGATTGGTTGTTGGTATTATTGTTATTGTTGTGAGCTGGAAACCCATTCAACCAGGTTGGCTCGCCTACTAACCCGCGTGTCAATAGTCGTATAGCATAATTCAATTAATATTTACCAGGATGTGTTTAATTAAAAGCTGGTGGGTATTGTAATTGAATAAATATACTCTTCATAAGGGTATGATGTTTATGTCAGAACGATTGGTATGAAATTATTATTTTTAAAAGCGGACAGGGTATTATAACCTGGTTTTGGCTGACTGTAGACCCAGCTTTATATATAGTAAAATTAATGTCTTGAGAAGCTGAGTCGATCTAGATGCGAGTGTATCTGGCGTTTTAGACTTTGGAATCATG